TCTTGTGATAAATGAAAAGTTTCCACTTGACGGTCATCGGTTTAGTTAAATTAAAAATCGATTGTAACGGATATGAATTATATTAGTCTATAGAAGTTTTCATCGCTTTCGATCTATCCTGATTAAAAGTGTTTGAAAATAGTTAACAATCGATTTTTATATGAGACCTATCCTAACTTTTTTATTCAGTGTCGTCATCAACTAAAGAGCTAGAATTACTATAGATTTAATTAAAGAGTGATGTCTCAATAATTGTTTTTCCTTGCATCCAATTCATTTATTTTCTATAAAACAACCTATTAGTTGCTGAATATCGAAGCAATTAAAATCAAAAGAACAGTCTTGTAAATTTCTTTTAGATTCTAACAATGATCGAAGATATCAGCCTCAGCCGAAGTCTACACCACAGAGCCCCCATGAATCGAATTTCGTATATCCGAAACCAGGCGAAATCAAGCGATCAAGTAATGAAGAGGATCCTAGGAACGATTTTTCAGGTAGTCTCTATTCTTCTCGCAAGTCACAAGCGGTGGCTACTTTTGATGAAAATAATTCGTTCGATTCGCCACGTAGTGGAGAAGGCAGTTCCAAACCAAAAACCAGACTTCCTGCATCTTTTAGTTTGCAACAAAATGTAGATAATAATGATCGAGATGGACGAGGAGCACAAATTAGAGCTACAGAAGGTGCTCATTATTCACCCGATGCATACCAAAGACAAACGCCAAGAAAGCCACCGAGAGGAGCATATCCAAGTGAAATGTTTGGCGTTGACCAGCACACTAAAGAAGATGTACGCCATCTTTTGGAATACCTATCGCAGAGCCTTCCAATCATGAACAAGCAAGGTCCTATGAGTGGCAAATGTATTCGCGAAACAGATCAGATGGAAAACTTTCTTAAGCAAGATTTTGGTTTTCATAATATTGCTGGACAATATATCGTCCCTGGTGTACGTGCATTTCAACTAGCGGAACCTATTTCAAAATTAGATCCTGAACGAGTAATTTATTTTCCTCATTATCAGTATCACAGTCCATTCGTCATGACTGTAGCCGAAATTCTAAAATGGCAAGATTCTTATGTTGTGTATGCTGATGGAAATGTTCCAGGAATAAAAAAAGAAATTCTTCATCGTGCTCTTCAGGGAAAGAGTAAACATGGCAATGAAGCTTTTCTTATGAAGTTCGTCATTCGTATTTCTGATTGCCCCATCCTGATGAAATTCGATGCAAAGATACTACGACGTTCTCTCAAAGACGAGTGGCCAAACCGAATCAAACTCGTTTCGGTGACAGGTATTGACTTTGCCGGACGAGAACATGATGTCGATGATGTTACAACTTATATCAAAAATTGGAAACAAGTTTTCGAACTTGACCCGAGAACAGGCAAACCGAAAGTGTTTAATGGAAGAGACTTTTATCCATTGCGATTTCATCCAGAGGTTCAACTCGATGAAGAACGTCTGCTTAGTGATCTCAAAAGAATGGTAAGAATACGATTGAGCGCATGTGACATGGAAGGAGTAGAAGTCGTTGTGGAAACAGGTATTGGTCTTGGTGTATTCGCTGGTAAGCATCTTGGAATGGATGGTCGAATTCGAAAACTATCTGCATTTGCCATTCGCCATGTGCTTCAAAAAGACGGAGCCACGTTTCAAAAGATCCGCGCTATTGTCTTTGCTTTACCTAACTTTGCAAAAGACAGAGATGGTCGTCAACTTCCAGATACCTATAATGATTTTGTTCATGAATTTACCAGAAGTAACTATTCTGGACCTATACCTGTTCTTATCGCTGATCAAGATATGCATGAATTAACTGTAGCTATCGCTTTTCAAAGATTTCGTGTTTCTCAACTAAATCCAGCTGATTCACATGGTGTGTTTGGTGAATATTGGCAAAATCATGGACCGGCAGTCGAAGAGAAACTCGCTTTAACTACGCTTGGTCTACTGGTTCAACATCACCTGATCAATGATAAAGTTCTCGATCAAAATAGATATAAGATAATCTAAATTGAAATACTTTTAAATAGTGAATACGAATATATCGAGTAATAAAAATATTTCATGATTAGCAAGCAAAATTTTCAATAAGGCACACGAAAAATGTGTGTGGCTGTCATGAGTATCCGTATGTTGTAGCATACGAAGAATCTCGTATGTTTAGATTCGAAGCAATATACTCATTACAGTTTGTCCTATTCAATTGATAGACAAGAATATTTGTACGAATTAATCTGCATTCATATAGAAACTAAGTGCAATTATACAATTATATTATTCAAGCGTAAAGAAAAAAAAAGAAAATCTCATAAAATTTCTAAAACGATGAATATTTTCTCTTCGTTTTGATGCACAAAACCTTTTTATTGCAATTGTGAATTAATTGAGAACTATTGGATGATGTCGTTTTCTTTAGTCGATTAAATAATGATAAAATATTTTTACTTGAATGTATGGGTGTGAGTCGGGATTCGGGCAAAAAATACTTTTACGCCCACACTTTCAAACTTCACTCCTGCATTAGATTTTGTCGTTGATATGGAAATCGCACCGAGCGTGAGAGAAACCACATATTTAAACATTTGATTTACCTATTGTTTCTAAGGACAAGAATGTAAAGTTAGCATCCGATAGCTCACAACTAAACGCCTCGAAGTTTGAATCTGAGTGAGACTCAAGAATCCTTTGGCATATTAGCTGTCGTTAGAGTCTGTGCGGTATGGGTGTGCGTATGGATGTGCATATGCATCGGCTTATCAATAACAACAAGACCTACACCCACACCCACACCCTCACAGCCAAATTTACCATCGCAAATGACTTGTATCATTAAATAGCGAGCATTGGTTTTGATTTTCATCACTATTATCACCAAAAATTTCATAATTTGCTATTTTTTAATAAAACATATTAACCATTGATGAGTATAGACTAGGAATACAGAGAAGTCTTCTTTCCTTTTTTAAGTTATTACAAAATTGACCACGATGATTATTTTTCTAAACAGACAGTAGATGTATTGTTTGATATACATTGAATGATTTATTGCGAAATAATATTGGAGTAAAAAAAAAAGGAATTAATTTTATTTAAAATTTTTTTTATATAATATTGAAATATGAAATCTACATAGAAAGATTGATGAAATTCAATAATAATCTTCATATATTGTTAAATAATATAAAATTATTTTAAAAATTTGATTGAAATGATTTGTAAAAGTCGATTTCGATTTTAGAATAAGTAGAATTTAATTAAATCGGAGTTTAAAAAACAAAGTGAGACTAAATAATTAAATAAATGAAAACCAAACATCAGCAATAGCCCAACCTTTTTGGAAATAATAGATTGATTTTAAAAAAAAGTTGATTTCCTTTATAAACTCGATGAAGAATATCTGTTTGTTTAAAATGATTTGATTTAAATAATTGAATAGAATATGGATACGTTTAAGGTAATGATAATAATATAATATCATCATAATCACATGTACAACATTTTAATAATAAAAGTGCTATAGATATATTATCAGTATATCATTATCCACGTTTAATAAATAATCTACTAAAATTTAAAATCACATAACTTTTTCTTAAATTTGTTTTTTTTTTTGAATATGCAATATAATCAACAATTGAACAAATATTTTCACGTAATTTTTCAAAAAATTCAATACGATTTATTGAATATGTTTATTTCTATTGATTTAATACTAAATAAATAATTAGTTAAAATTCTCCAAAATCAAATATTCTATAATCATATCGAACATAAACAAGACCAATTATAATTATTTTTTCATCATTTAAATAATATTGATTGTTTGCATGAATTTAAATACATTAAATGATCAATTGATGTACGTTTAAATGTTGAACAAATATTTCATAGTAATTTTATAGCATATATGGTAGATGATAAGACTGGTACTATTATCAAATTAATTAATTCAATCTTTTCATTTCTATTCATACAACAAGCTTTGTTTTGTATTTAATTAATATATGATTTTATTTTGAAATTGATTCTCAATGATATAAATATATTTACACATATCTAAATAATCAAAATGAATACTGACTGTTTAATATTTTATAATAGGATAATCTTTGAAGAATAGATTCATCTGACGACATTATTTATCAATAATAATAAAATCTATAAAATAATAGAGAAAATTATGAATTTATTCGACTAAATTCAAATTTGAATCCAACAAATCTATTATCCTTTCTCTTATTAACTATTGGGTTAATACAATGCAACAACCTCAATCGAACTCCATCTTCTCTTGTTTACTACATTGGTTCAATCATAAAAGGAAAAAAACAGACATGAAAAGAATTAATCTATCTATATTGTTTCGTCTGTCATTCTCATCACTCTAATGTTTTCTTTTTCTATTCGAATATGATCTATTCAGATGATTCCATTTATTTCAAATAATACCACTAAAAATACAATTGATCAATAACAACAACCATTCAACTATTTTAATATTCTTCTCTTTCTTCTTCTGTTATTTCATATTAATCTTGTTTTTTTTTCTGTTTCCTATTTATAGCTAATATCCATTTCAAAATAGAAGAGCAGTGGGTATTTTTCGAATAACTTTTCATAAAAACAAGATAGACTGGTGCGGTTTTCACCATTAGAAAGAGAAAACTTAGACGCATCAATCCATCTCAAAATATGATTGGTTGATAATGGACCAATCAGGTGTAATCTCGACAAAAATGTTG